GTTACAGATTTTTAGTAAGGTACCGTGTGCCAATAAATCTAGGGAGGTAATTTTACTCTTCTTTGTCATTTGGAATAAACTCAGAATAATCAGTTGGAGTGAAATTATTACAGAGTAAATTGAATCTCTGAGTTCCACAGCTTGGAGTTTTCAGCCTCCAGCTCCAAGTCATTTCCAATGGTGACTTGTCCAATTGGATATTGAGTAATAAAAGACTAGAATGGAGCTGGAGAAAAGGTAGTAGAGGGCTCCGCTGGAACAGGAGTGTTTTTCAACAGCACCATCAGCAGTGGGCAACGGCATCCAAATCCTCTCATGTTAGAGAGGGATAAAAGTGGCCGTCTGTGCCAGGAATCTTTACCCATGTGGGGCCTTGAAGGTAGATGCCTTTGTCCATCCATACTTGCCCAGGCTGGACACCCATATACAGCCGTACCTTTTTTGTGGGCTTATTAGTTGCATTATTTTGACTGGATTGTACTTTCCTGGGGAATGTGGAAGCATACAGATTTGCTGTAGCAGTTTCATCCTCATGGGTCCAGTGAGCATCCTTCCCGGTACTCTGCATAATTAGACTGTTACCTGGGACAATTTTATCTGCTTTATTACTGCAATTGATCATGCCATTAGGGCCTGTCCTGGAGTAATTTCTATCCTCATTAATATATTCTACTGCCTCGTCATCTGCCAACGTATTAGGCTGATTGTTTTTGTTGGGGGAAAATCCCTGCATTCTTTGCCAAGGCCCTGGTTCATAATTAGTATCTTTTTGTCCATACCAAATTTTAGTCAGTTTGGTTGCTTCAATACTGCCATCAAATGTAGTTGTGTGAAAAAAGTAAGGATATTGATCAGCTAAAGGATTAGACTGATGGTGATTTTCTGATTGTGGCTGAAGTAAGAGTGGCATGGCAAGGTCTCAAAGTGATATTCAAAGCTGTAATTGTTGCCTGTGTGTAGCATTTGGCTTGGAAAGTATTCTAAGCAATAAAAAGCTGATCTAGGAGTAGCTATGGTGTTTCCCCCATTATGGTAATGTAATGCACAGTATCCATATTGAGGCAGCATAAATGTATCACCTGAGAAAGGAGGCATACAGCCATTAGTCACATTGCCAATGATGTAGGGCAGTTGATATGAGTCATCAGAAAAAAAATTGAATTGTTGAGGTTAGGTTGTTTGCAGTTGTCTTCATGCTTGCAGCCTCTGTGACCTTAATTTGGAAGTTAACTTGGAAGATTTTGACACAGCAGCTTTTTGGATGGAGGGCAGAGTAGTTATTGATGAGTCGTTGCCAGTCCCTTGCACTCCAACAGCACTAGAATCTGTTGAAGACAATGTATGCTCATGGGATGCTATCTGAGGTAGGTGGGCATTTCATTAGTCTCTCCTTTGATTTATTTATAAAGATTGCAGTCATAGGAAAAGAGGACCCATGTGTAGGTAGAACAGAGGGTAACCATGTTGCCCTTCCATTGTGAATCACAATGCTGATTTCCAGAGGACTCACCCACTCCTCTGTCTCCTCCACTTGCGATGACAAAAACTCCAGCTTCCCTTGTAGCCATTTTTTGAGTAGGGTTGACTTGTGCTTCAGGTGTGCCAGTGCCAAGGGGTATCTGTTATGTAGGTCTCTGTCTTCACCAGCTTCATCAGCAACTTTAGGGCATTTTGGACTTGGGGGCCCGGTGTCTGCAAGTCCTATAGGGTTCATTGGCCACTTATTGGCCTGGAAAACACCATGAGCTAATTTGCCCCCAAAGGATGTCTCATCCTTTAGAATGTCTAGAAACTCTTGGTCTGCTTGATTGAAAGTTAGGTAAGGGTTTTTACCTTCTTTCAAGAGTTTGTCATATGTGATGTCATGCGCTCTGGCTGCCTTATCTGCTTTATTGCAGATTGCTCTTATGAAGGCCGTTAAAAGGACTCAGGTAGTTATAGGCAGGGAGGACAAGGCCCTTTGCAGAATCTTTAACTTCTCCTGAATGAGGCACTGAAGGAGTTTGCTTGCTGATGGTTGGCTTTAGGGACTGGGGCTCCAGGTTTAAGATTATGACAAATGGCTGCTGATTTTTCATTCCAATCTTCAAAGGCACCCTGGTCTCTGGCAAAGGCAGGGGCAGAGTAGGCTACAGATGCCAGAAGAGAGACAGGGGAAGGAGGCTTTGCGGGAAGAGAGTAGTCGGTGAGATCCTGGTGCTGACTCATTCCCCATGCGGCAGCAGCCACCTTGTTCAGGCAGACCACACCTGAATGTTTCTTCTTTAACTCCTTGGTTGTTGGACTTCCATACAGTTCTATTTTTCTGGCAATTCTGGTTATTTTTTGTTTTTAAATTTGTTGTTCTCCTTTTGGTTGTGTGAGGAGGCAAAGTGTATCTACTTATGCCTCCATCTTCCCAGAAGTTCACTTAAACTCTCTTAAAAGAATTGTAATCATTCAAATATCAGCTGAAATCTGTGCAAGAGACTAACAACTTCTGACTTCCACTCTCTCTGATGGTGAAGTTTTTTGGTTCCTCCCACCAATTCTTAAAGCTTTTGACTTAAGTTTGATACCTTTATCCCATGAAAACTTTCAGTCTCTCAGCCTCGCTGATACTTCTTTTGGAACCTGCCCAAATTTCCTGATTTTTATTTCTGCCTAAATCTGAAGTTGGACCTTAAATTGAATTTTTCATTTTAGTTATTGTACCTTTAAGTGACAGATTTTATGTTTGTTTCCTTTTTTATAATATCTGTCAATTTTCACATTTTTTTCCTTCATTGCTTTTCCTGATTTCCTTTGCATGACTTGTGGTGTTCTATTAAAAATTCAGCATGGCCACCTCTTACAGTTATTGCAAACTGGCTCTTTGCCAGGGCTGTCCTTCACTAAGTAGCCTTGAAGATGATGGCTTTGAATTCTCAGGTCTTTTCTGAGAATTCTTGCCTGGGTCTGAGTTTGGCTTTTTTGATTCTTTTGCATATGTGGCTGCTTTTAAATGTCATAATTTACCAAAGAGTCAACTTCTCCTCTGAGCTTCATATGGTCTATGTATCTTTTTACATGTAATTTCTTGCCCAGATATCTACAGCTCTAGTCTTCCTGAAGCCTTCTCAAGCAGTTCCCAGTGTTTCTTTGTCTGAACTCCAAGTTAGGTAAAACAGAATAGTTCTTCAGGCAGCCCCCAAATAAATTAGAAAATTGCAAATAAAATCTGTTTTGCTTCCTTTGGTGTGAGCAAAAGGAATTGGCAATTGTGCTGTCTTCAGAGCAAGAGTGTACCATTCCAAGGAGGGGGCTAGACAAGGACAAGTAAAAACACCATAACATTTTCTATTATTTTGAGTGTGACTTTTTTTTTAATGGTTTGAATAAATCTTTTTTTAAAAATTTATTTACTTTTAAAATACATTTGTCTCTGCCTCCCGCCCACCTCTTTCTCTTGCCCCCTCCCACCTTCCCTCCCTCAGCTCTTCCCCTTTGGTTTTGTCTATGAGTCCTTGCTATATGTCCCTTGACTTTCCCCTTCCCTTCCCTTTCCCTGCCCCCCCCTTCCCTCTTGTCTCTGTTGATTTCTTTTCCTTTCAGTGTTGCTGGTCATATTTTCCTTGCATCTTTGCATTGTTGGTTAGGTTTCGCTTATAGGTGAGATCATATGCTATTTGTCTTTGGCCCCCTGGCTTATTTCGCTTAGCATGATGCTCTCCAGTTCCATCCATGCTGTTGCAAAGTTTAGTACTTGTTTTTTTCTTTCTGCTGCGTAGTATTCCATTGTGTATATGTACCATAATTTTTTGATCCAGTCATCTACTAATGGGCATTTAGGTTGCTTCCAACACTTGGCTATTGTAAATTGTGCTGCTATGAACATTGGGGTGCATAGGTTCTTTTGTATTGGCGTTTTGGTGTTCTCAGGGTATAGTTCCAGCAGGAGAATCGCTGGATCAAAAGGCAGTTCCATTTTCAGCTTTCTGAGGAAATTCCACACTGCTTTCCATAGTGGCTGAGTGTGACTTTTTATTGATTGGGCATTTGCTTTATTTCTGTGTACCTTTGTCTATGTTCCATAGTTCCTGTAAGATTATTTTACTCACTTTTGCATATTTTTTGACATCTCTGTTGGGCAACAGGGTTTAAGGTTCCCTAGCCTGCCATTTTGCTGACATCACTACATAGGCATGAGTTTTTAGGAACCATAGTAGAAGTTGTCCAATGACCATTTTTCCCCCTAAACAATCACTTTCGAAGATTATATATACAATTACTGAAAGGTTTTTTTAATGCCTCTTTACCTCCAGAATCTATATTATGTTATTATTACTCTTTAGTATGGCAAACTGTCCTTTTCTGAGGCCAGATTTGGTTTTGAGAAACTAATCAAAAGACATTTCTTTGATGAATTAAATAAGTAAGTTAAACACTACAATTTGGGCTACAAATTTTTTAATTGCCATAATAAGGTAATTCCACCGTAGACCTACAAAATATTTTGAGTTTTGAGGTACAAATAATGAAGGAATAATTATATAGCGTTCCTAATCACTTTGAAGATTATAGTTAATTGATACCTAAGTTCTGATATGGTGAAGTCTATTTAAAATATCATTTATATTCATATAATATGTATCTATTGATGGAAATATTAAACTATGCAGGTAGATCCTCTTGAGAAATGATTATAGGCATGTCCTTGTACTGGTAGAAGAGACTACAAGGTAACAAGGATTTCTATTTTAGGGGGAATCATCTAGGGTCTATCTTAACCTTGTAAATCTGTGACAGATATATTTGCAAAATAACTATAACCTTCTACAAAATTTACTTTATCTCTAGTTATCCATTCATAGCTTTCAAGTGTAATACATTTCAGTTCAGTTATTCAATTAATCTCATTTAACCATGTTAAGTTCATAAACTAGGGAAATTACCCTTTTGAATACTGTTCAGTTACTATAACTCACTTTCATAAAAATGTTTACAAAATTGTGCTAATAACTTTGGGGTCTTACTTGAAGGAAAAAGAACTTGTGTGAAGAAGTAGTAAGAAAGACAGATGATTATTTATCAAATATAATAATGGCTAAAAACTGCATTGAAGAGAAAAAAAATGATTTGGATGCAGCTATGAAGATAGCAAAAGAGTTAAAGTCAGCACCTTCTCTAAGGAGTTACTGTGACCTGAATCAGGTAATTTTAATAGTTTGTGATGTGATTTCTTTTTTCTCTTTTTAAAAATTTTACTTTTTCAATTGCAGTTTACATTCAGTATTATTTTGTATTAGCTTCACATGTACAGCAGAGTGGTTAGACAATAATATACTTTACGAAGTGGTCCCCTGATATTTCAAGTACCCACTTGGCATCAAACATATTATTACAATATTATTGACTGTATTCCCTATGCTGTACTTTAACATCTCATGACTATTTTGTAATTACAAATTTGGACTTAATCTCATCACCTTTTTCACCTAGTCTTCTAAAACCCCTCTCCTCTGACTACCATTGGACTGTTCTTTGTATCTATGAGTCTCTTTCTATTTTGTTTATTCATTTATTTTGTTCTTAGATTTCACATGTAAGTGAAATCATGGTATGCGTCCTTCTCTTTCAGACGTTTCACTTAGTATAATCCCCTCTAGGTCTATCTATGCTGCCACAAATGGTAAGATTTCATTAATTTTTATGGCTGAGTAATATTACATTATATATGTAACACAGCTTTTTTTTTTTTATCTCCCTTTGATGGGCACTTAGGTTGCTTCCATATATTGCCTATTGAACTTAACACTACAATGAATATAAGGGTGCATATATTTTTTTCAAATTAATGCTTTGGGTTTCTTCATATATATACCCAGTAGTGGAGTCACTTGGTCATAAGGTAAGTTCCATTTTTAATTTTTTGAGGACCCTTCATACTGTTTTATATAGTGACTGCAACAATCTTCATTCCCACCGGTAGTGCACAAGTCTTCCCTTTTCTCCACATCCTCACCAACATTTGTTGGTTGTTGATTTATTGATGCAGCCATTCTGACAGGTGTGAGATATCTTATTATGGTTTTAATTTGCATTTCTCTGATGATTAGTGATGTTGAACAACTTTTCATATGTCTGTTGGCCAACTGTATGCCCTCTTTGGAGAAGTGTCTATTCAGGTCCTCTGCCTGTTTTTTAATTAGATTGTTTGCCTGCTTGTTTGTTTTAGTGTTGGGTTGTGTGAGTTCTTTATAACTTTTGGATGTTAACCCCTTATCAGATGTATCAGTGATGTTCCTATTCAGTGAGTTGTCTTTCTGTTTTGTTGATGATATCCTTTGCTGTACAAAAACTTAAGTTTGATGTAGTCCCATTTGTTTATTTTTTCTTTCCTTTGTCCAAGGGGATATATCAGAAAAATATTGCTGAGAGAAATGACAGAGATTTTACTGCCTGTGTTTTCTTCGAGGAGTTATGTGGTTTGTTTGAAGATTTTATTTATTTATTTTTAGAGAGGAGAAGTGAAGGAGAAAGAAAAGGAGAGAAAGAAACATCAATGTGTGGTTGCCTCGCACATACCCTCTACTGAGGGCCCTGGCCCACAACCCAGGCATGTGCCCTGACTGGGAATCAAACCAGTGACCCTTTGATTCGCAGGCCAGTGCTCAATCCACTGAGCCACACCAGCTAGGGCAGGAGTTACATGGTTTTAAGTCTTTCATATAAGTCTTTAATCCATTTTGAGTTTATTCTCATATATGGTGTAAGAAGGTGGCCTTGTTTCATTTTTTTCACATATCCAATTTTCTCAACACCATTTATTGAATAGATTGTCTTTACCTTATTGTATGTTATTGCCTCCTTTTTTAAATACAAATTGACCACATAGTCCTTTGTTCTGGCTTCTCTGTTTTGTTCCCTTGATCTGTATGTCATTTGCAGTCATTTGTGGGGAAGTTCTTTGTCTTCCCATTTTTTTGAGAGTCTGTTAAGTATTATACTTATTTTTTTTTATTTATTTTTGCTTCTGCTTCAAATGGGCTGTCTAGATTTCCTGACTTTGTGGATTAAACTTCTATGGCAGTAGGTGGGTTTATTTATTTGTTTGTTTGTTTGTTTATTTATTTATTTATTTATTTTACCCTTTACTTTTCTTTCTGGGCCTGAGTCTGATGATGTCAGTTGTTGACCCTATATGACCTTGGGTTTTTTGTTTGAGCCTTCCAGGAGTCTACTGTCTGTGTCTGACTCCTGCTTGGGGAAACTCTGGGACCCCTTCGGTCAGGGCTGGACTATTTTTTAGGATCACTCTGCACTCTCACGCCGACTCCTTGAGCGCGCTCCCCAGTGGGGCAGGATCCCCCGCCCGCCTGGGTTGACGCGTGATTGCCCCAGACCACGGGGCTTATTCCCGACCTCTTGTACTCGTCTGGCCCGCCTGGCCGGTGGGCATCCTGGAACTGGTCAGTTTAGGGTCTTCCATTGTGTGTTTTCCCCACTTTTAGCTGTTGGGGTGTGTTGCTTGCCCTCACCAAATGGGGACTACGGAAATGGGAGGAAGTCAGCTCCAGGACTCTCTAGTTAATCCTGTCTCTAATCTCTCCTCCAGGGACTCTGGGCAGCCTTGTGACCCCTTTAGCCTGGCATCTACTAATTCTGTGAGCCGTTCCGCAATCGCGGGCTGCGGGCCTCAATTTACGCCTGCCCTTGCCGCTCTGCACACTGCCTCGCAGGCCATATTGGTGTCAATCTGTGGGAGGCCTTACCATCCCGTGTGAGCCCTCACCAGCCTGCGTGGGTCCACACACACGCTCACCAACCCTAGCCAGCCACTCGGCGCAAGTGTGCGCACCTGCACTGGGTGGTTTTGGGGTGTCTATGTGTGCTTTTCAGCTTTTGGCTCTTTGGGGGTTTGGCCTCTTCCTGCACAATGGAGACTAGGGAAAGGAGAAGGAGTCGGGACTCCCCAGTTCCTCCTCCTGTTCTTTCCCCAACGCCTCCATCTCCAGTCTCTCCTCAAGGCTCTCCCAGCCAGTCTGCACTTAGCCCTCCAGATCACACGCGCACAAGCTGTGTGCAGAGCGCACTAAAGGCAGGTTAATTGATTCCCTTATGCCCGAGCCAGATGGTAGCTGCAGAGTGGGAAGTACGTTATCACCGGGGCTCCATCAGCCGCTGTCTCAGTTCTCTTCACAAAGTTTTCCTCACCAATCTTTTCCCAGGCACCAGCCCACCCTGCTGCCGCCTCTACTCAGAGATCAAGGAGGGTGGCTGCCACTGCAATTTTTGCATTGGCCCTTTAAATGTCTCTTTGCATCCCCAGCCGCCTGTCTCTGGCAGAGAGCACCCCTAAGCTTTTCGGGGTTGCGTTTTGTCTGTATTTTCTTGACTTTAGCTGCTGTCGTTTAGGGGTCCCTGTTTATGATTCAGACCCCGTTCTTCTCGGGGGAAGCTAACTGGCCGTTTCAATGTCCCTCTGGTGCTAGTGCCCGTGGGCACCCAGCCCCACCCTCTCGAGCCTCCACCGCACTTCTCACCCGTTGGGATGTGTGAGAGTTGAAGCCACTGTCTGTCCGCAGCTCCAAGGCTCCTCTCCCACTGTTGTTCCATTGTTTTCCAGGTGATTACTCCACTATTTCGTTGCAATTCCAGTTTGGTCTTGGGAGGAGGAGGTCAGCGTGACTCCCATTCACTCCTCTGCCATTTTCTAAATCCGACACCTCTCTTTTGATTCTAGATTATCCGGACTTTGAAGTTAACATTTGAGAGTGAATTGTCACAAGTTAGTGCTCTAAAACTAAGGAACTCTCTCAGGTACGTTATAATTTAGGAAAACATAACAAGTATAAAAATGGATTAGAGCTTAGATTTATTAAAAGAGCAAGTAATTTAAATTGAGAATTTGGATCACAAATGTTTCCCAAGTTAGCAATCAAATTTAATAAGTGTAACATATGGTAAGTATGAAAGTTATTTAAATATTCTTTCAGAGTTTAAAAAAAATTTTATTGTACTCTTTTCATTACCATTTAGCTCCCTAATACCCTCCCCCACAATCATCACGTTGTCTATGCCCATGAGTCCTTTTCCCACTTTGTTCTATTCTTCCACCTCCTAACCACTCCCCAGGAGCTGTCATCCTGCTCTTTATCTATGAGTCTGTCTCTATTTTGCTTGTTAGTTCAGTGAAATCATGTGGTATTTGTCTTTCTCTGACTGACTTAATTTCACTTAGCATAAATGTCAGCAACTGATATTTATTTAGAGAAAGTAATAAACTTGTATTAGAACATTTACTTATATGCTAGTGTTTATTGCAGGTTGACTATGAGTTGCAGTGAGATCATCTCTATGTTCTACAATATGATAAGGATTGACTTTGAGGACTCAACAACGTAAGTATTTATAAGAATGACAACATACTGTTAGTGACAGGGCCTAAGAGACAGGAAAATTGATGCTAAGTGTAGTGTATATGATTCAGAAGTTGAAAAATAATAATAAAGGGCAAAACTGTTTCAATCAGTTACATTCTATGTAAAATATATAAGAATAAAAAGACCTAGAAGAGATATTCAATGATACATCCTTCAAAGTTATTTCTAGAGATTCATTCACTCATCCAGCATTGAAAACTGGTTTTGTGCTAGGCATTAACACCCTAGATTGTGAGATATATGTCTGAGAAGTTACAATATAAGTAAAGGATGACACATGTGAACAATAAGGTGCAAAATTGTTACGATGGTAATACATGCAGAATTTAGTGGAAATGCAAAGGAAGGGAATGGTCAGGTCTTCTGGGAGTAACAAGAAACCTGGAAAAGGGAGATTTTATTTTCCCTCATCCATGAAAAATGAGTAGCAATTGGAAAAGAGAACAGAAGAGATATAGGCATCTTAGCAGAAAGACATGTGTGCAGTGAAATAACATACTACATTCAGGGAAGAACTGCATTTGGTAGAGGGTACATAGAAGTTAAATTCTAAAACTTCGTATGTTCTACAGAGGTGTTTGAACTACATTTTCTAGACTCATGCTGACAATACGACAGCCACTAATCAGATGTGACCATTTAAATTTAAGCATAAATGAGTTAAACTTAAGCTGAGAAATTCAGTTCCTCAGTTACGCCAGCCACATTTCAAGTCTCAGTAGCCACTTGTGGTTAGTGGCTTCTCTACTCGACAGGGCAGCACATTTTCACGATCACAGAAAGTTATGTTGGACAGCACAGCTGTAGACAAACCACTAAAAGATTCTCAGCATGAAAAGTAAACTAATTAGTTTGCATTTTTAAAAGTTAACTGTGGTCACTTACAGGATTATTTGGAAGAGTAGAAAACTGGGGCTGAAGACTATTTTGGAAACCAAATGTAGGTAATAACACTGAAGAGTGATATGGCAAATGTAGTGCATTACTTGCGACCACAGGGAAGACCTTCCCAGAGGACTTTGGCTCTAGTCATCTTCCCCCAGTGTGAAGCCCTGCCCCATAACTGTCTCTGTGACTTTACTTTTGTGCTTCCATGGACCATCATCATTTTTTAATCAGTACATTCTTTTAGATATTTTCATAACTTGAATATAGCTACTATCAATTATTTTTAATATTAAAAACTACCCTGTTGCCCTGGCTGGTGTGGTTCAGTGGACTGAGTGTCAGCCTGCGAACTGAAAGGTCACCAGTTCAATTCCCAGTCTGGGTTGGGGGCCAGGCCCCCACTTGGGGGCATGTGAGGGGCAACTGATTGATGTTTCTCACACCCATCAATGTTTCTCTCTCTCTCTCTCTCATTCTCCTTCCCTTCCCCTCTCTCTAAAATAAGTAAAACATTAAAAAAAAATAAAGCTATCCTGTCTCTTTAAGAGTTTGTGTTAATTCTGTCTTGATTTTAAATTTAACTCTGTAGTCTTTAAAATCTTTTCCTAGTTTTTAGGGAAAGTTTCACTATAAAACCTGCATCTATTGTTTACAGGTGGTAATTAAACACTGGGTTTGCCCAGTGAAAGCAGGTACTGAAGGAGGTGAAGGACACCCTGTAAAAAGATGAAATTTTAGGACAGGGAAAGGGTAACCTGCAAAAAAACAAAACAAAACCGAGAAGGAGCAAGGAGAGGCTGAAAGACAAACAGGAGAGTGTGTTCTTGAAGTCATAGGAGAGGGATTTATGAGGCTGGTGTTGGTTGACTCTTCTACGTATTATTAAGGTCAGATAAAAATTGTTATAAAAAGAAATGTTTGGATTGCAAAGCTGTGCCCATATGTGCATCCTCAGAAAGCGCTTGGACCTTTATTCTACATGTACTAATTTTATGTGGGTGAAGTGCACAATTGCTGTTGGAAGAAATAGATGTGTCATTAGTAAATACATATGGCTATATCAGTTCTTATTTCTAAAATGCTTCTTAAATGCTGATCTGTGACAAAGCTAAATCCATCATGGGTTAACTAAAATACAAGCTTTTGAGACCCAGTCTCATCTCTGATAGAATTTCTTTTTTTTAATTATATTTTATTGATTATGCTATTAGAGTTGTCTTGATTTTTTTCCCTCTTTGCCCCTGTCTACCCAGCACCCCCCACTCCCTCAGGCAATCCCCCTACCATTGATCATATCCATGGGTCATGCGTATAAGTTCTTTGGTTACTCCATTACCTGTAATGTACTTTACATCCTCATGGCTATTCTGCATCTTCCTACTTCTACTTCTTAATCCCTTCACCTCTTCATCCATTCTATCACACCCCCCTTCCCATCTGGCAACCATCAAAATGCTCTCCATATGCATGATTCTGACTCTCTTGTTTGCTTAGTGTTTTTTTTTAATTCAGTTGTTTATAGATATGTATTTTTGCCATTTTATTGTTCACAGTTTTGATTATCTTCTTTTTTCTTAAAGAAGTCCCTTTAACATTTCATATAATAATGGTTTGGTGATGATGAACTCCTTTATTTTTTTTTTTCTTGCCTGGGAAGCACTTTATCTGCCCATCAATTTTAAATGATAGCTTTGCTAGGTAGAGCAATCTTGGCTGTATTTCCCTACTTTTCATGACTTTGAATATTTCTTGCCAATCCCTTCTAGCACACAAAGTTTCTTTAGAGAGATCAGCTGCCAGTCTTACAGGGTCTCCCCTGTAGGTAACGCACTTCTTTTCTCTTGCTGCATTTAAGATTCCTTCTTTATCTTTAACCTTTGACATTTTAATGATGATGTGTCTTGGAGTGGCCCTCTTTGTGTCCACCTTGTTTGGGACTCTCTTTGCTTCCTGGACTTGCATGTATATTTCCTTCACCAAATTAGGGAAGTTTTCTTTCATTATTTTTTCAAAGAATTTCCAATTTCTTGCTCTTTCTCTTCTCCTTCTGGCACTCCTATGATGTGTATGTTGTACCACTTAAAGCTGTCCCAGAGGGTGCTTATACTATCCTCATTTTTTTTTTTTTTTGATTCTCTTGTTCTTTTGACTAGTTTTTGGCTTCCTTATGTTCCAAGTCATTAATTTGATTCTCAGCTTCATCTACTCTATTGTTGTTTTCCTATAAATTGTTCATTTCAATTCAGTTAGTGTATCCTTCATTTCTGACTGGGCGAGGTTTTTTTGTTGGTTTTTTTTAAAGATTTTATTTATTTTTAGAGAGGAAGGGAGGGAGAAAGATGGATAAAGAGAGGGAGAGAAACATTAATGTGTGCTTGCCTCTCACATGCCCCCGCACTGGGGACCTGACCTGCAACCCAGGCACGTGCTCTGACTGGGAATCGAACCGGCAACCCTTTGGTTTGCAGGCCAGCACTCAGTCCACTGAGCCACACCAGCCAGGGCTGACTGTGTGTTTTTTATGTTGTTAAGTTCCTCAAGCATCCTCATAATCAGTGTTTTGAATTCTACATCTCATAAATTGCTTACCTACATTTCATTTAGCTCTTTTTCTGGAGTTTGATCTGTTCTTTTCATTTGGGCCATGTTTCTTTGTCTCCTCATTTTGGCAACCTCCGTTTGTTTCTTTCTATGTATTAGGTAGAGCTGTGCTGACTCCATATCTTGGTAATATGGCCTATTGTAGTAGTGTCCTATAGGGTCCATTGTCACAGCCTCCCCTACCAACCAAGCTGGGGACTCAAGGTGCACACTTAGTATGGGTTGAGTACACCCTCCTCTTGTAGTTGAGCCTCGATTGCTGTGGGTAGATGAGTGGGAGGTATTTACCCAGGCCAGTCACCTTCAAGGATTGGCTGTGACCACTTACCACCAACATCTGCCCTCTGTGTAGAATCAGCTGTGCAGGGGCAGAGTGGTGGTGCTCTGACATGATCTGTAGCTGTCCACTGGATGCACTGGCCCTGGGGTTTCTAGGGGTGGTGCAGGCCATGGTCAGCCCCCACCTGTGTTTTGGCTGGGGCCACCCTTTCTGAGCTATAAACTAATCTTAGAAGGCTGCTACTTGTACTGGGCTTGAAGATTCCCAGGCAAAGCCAAGCTGCGAATCTAGACTGGCTGCTGCTAGTGCCAGGCCTGGGCCAACTATTGCTTGTTTGAGAGGATTTAGGAAGTTGTGAAACGTGAGCCAAGACTAGCCATTTATATGGAAAAGAAGCTTGGGTGGGTCTGTAAGTTGAGTGGGTTGGAGTCTCTTGGGATTTCCAAAGTTGGTCTAATTAGCCACATTGATGGAGTCTCAGATATGGCACTAGTTTGCCAGCTCTGTGGCTTTTTGAGGGGAGGGTTTAGAAAAGGGGCAATGGCCTCTGCTTCCCTTGATGCCAGATACTTCTGTTTCTCCCTGGTGCCTTTCAAGTGCTACCCTGGTGTTGGACCTCAGAGGAAGTGAGTAGGTGAGTCTGTGTGTGGATCCTTTAAGAGGAACTGCTTGGAGCTCCAGAAGTTTCTTCCACCTACTCAGTCCCTTCTGGTTTTTACAGCAAAAAGTTGTGGGGACTTATCTTCCTGGAGCTGGAACCCTAGTGTGGGGCTGTGACTCCTCAGTCCCAAGATATCAGTCTTGAATTTTTTTCCCAGCACTCTTGAGTGTGGGACTAGCCTGTTCCCTGTCAGTGCTCCTCCTGCCAGTCTGTGTGGGTGTGGTTTCTTTAATTCCATAGTTGTCTGACTTCCATTCAACTCAATTTCTGACAGCTCTGAGTGATGGTTGTTGTATATTTTAGCTGTAATTTTATAGTGGTTGTGTGAATAGGTGAGCCACGTCTGCTTATGCTGCCTTCTTGATTGGAAGTCTTGGTAGAATTTTTTAAAAATATTTTTTAAATTATTTATTTTTAGAGAGAAGGGAAGGGAGGGTGAAAGAGAGGGGGAGAAACATCAATGCATGCATAAGAGATAAATCAACTGGTTGCCTCCTGCACACCCCCAAATGGGACCTGGCCTGCAACCCAGGTATGTGCCCTGACTGGAAATCTAATGAGCGACCTTTCAGTTCACAGGCCGGCACTTCTTCCACTGAGCCACACCAGCCAGGACTTGATCCAATTTCTATACTTATTTTGATAGCCTAAATCTGTGTGGCTAAGTAAAGAAGATGGAAAAATACAGAATAAACAGAATAAATAATCAGCTGTGGGTTAGTGAATAGTCACGTTGAACAGTCTTATCCAAAGGATTCAGACTAATGGTGATTTCTAGCAAAGGTGGAGGTTTCAAACAATTTGTTTAGGGTCATACCTTTCATTCTTTCCTACAATTTATTTTTAAGGCAGTGAATTAATAGAAGTAATAATCTCAACATAATTTAAAATCAGACACCTAAAACAAATCAGAATGACTTCTTTTGAAAACCTATATCCAGTGCTCTTTTAGGACCAGGTCATTGTAGTGTGACTGTCAAGCTCTTTTCTTCAGCATCACCTTGATTATACTTCTTGTTGCCCTTTTACTACCCTTGGGCTGGGAATGGGCCATAGTTTTGTGGGGGGGGACGCGGTTGAGGGGGATAATAGAAATGTTCTAAAATTAGATTGTGGTGATGGTTGCACAAATCTTAGAGTTTAGTAAAAATTAGTGAATTAATTGTATATAAATTATATATCAAAAAAGCTGTTAACAACTACCCTAGTCACCTATATAACTTCACCGCTTTGTGTGTGTCATAAGTGTTAACTATCCTGTGAAAAGGAAGTAGGTTTAGGGAAGTAGGTTCATAAAGTCTCTACGCCTTTATGAAGTGATCTAAAGCAGTCATGTGCCTTTGTGTTTTCAACAGATGTGACCCCCAAGAAGATGAAATTGGCCAGAATGTTCAAAGGAAATATAAACGTGAAAAGGAATTTTCTTGTCGTGATATGTTTCCATCACCAGGAAATAAAAAGGATGACATGTCTGTCCTGACTAATGAAGCCCCACCAACTCTTCTGCAACCAGAAACCAGTGATATGTATTTGGAAGAAAAAAACTTCCAACCACAGAAAGAGGTGGTTGTAACAACATCCCCTAAAACCATTGCTACTCTACCTCAGATGGGATCTAGCCCTGATATGATCATTGAAGAAATTATTGAAGAAAACACAGAAAGTGAGTGACAATACAAAAGCAAGGAAACAAAATATAATTAGAAACAAAGTTAGCACCTTCTGTCCCTGTACTTCTCAGAAAGGAACTATTAGCTTACACACCACCCCCACTGTCACTTTTTCTAAAATTAGGATAATTTTTATTTTTAATGCAATAATACAGCTAAACTCTGAGACACAAATATAATATTTAATTTAAATAGGGTATTTGACTTTCTAGTTCCACATATAAACCTTGTATCAAAGATGAAAATATGAGATTTGTAGAAGTAATCTCATGACTTTGAACTTAAATTTCAGAACAGCTTCTCTTAAATCTTTGAAATACAATATTTTATAAAATGAGTCGTTGTGAATATATTATCATCTCTTTTGTAACATTCAAATATATAATAATTTTATTTGTTTAGATTTCCAGTGGTGGTGTTTTCTCCACTAACGGGAGGATGAGATACTACTATGTGAAGTTAGACTACCAGTCTTCTTGAGCATTTTAAAAATCCACTTGGTTCTCTGCTCCACCCACTCCCCACCCCAGCACACACACACATCTGTTTCATTGGTTGGCTCTCCAGCATGACAATTGCATACAGGAAAAGGACATGCTGTTTTCTCTCATTTCTACCGAATTATCATCACTGACATCTCAATGAGTTAAGAAGCCTCTCATGATGTTACTTACTGATACAAGGGGTCTTGCCTTTCCAGTATTTTGACAATTCAAGAACAGATTTTTAAACAATAGCATGCCATTGTCAACTTAAAAAAATTAGTTCAATTGCTTTTATTTCCTATTTTGATTAAGCATGCCTCACAGAGGATCTTCTGGAGACACCTAGTTATCCAAACAAATCTCAGAAAAAATCGTCTACTCCTTTTGGATCAAAAGCAGGTACTTTAATAAGTCTCAACTTGATTTTGGAGAGTTTGCTGTATGTATAGTACTCTTATGCAGTGTGAGGCAATGAGTAAAACCTCTTCTTTTTCAATGTTAAAAGTTTTGTTGTTACTGGCAAAAATATTTCTGAAATTTATAATACTTCTCTCACCTGTCTTCCCAGTTACACATACCCTTTACCCTATATTCAGTATAGCTATTTTTTTGTGATCTTTATTGGATAATTAAATTGATCCATTGCACTCAATTTTTATCTGTACTTGGCTATCTCCAATTTCAGTCCTCCTAGTCTTTGTTTTTTGAACATTTTTACTAGATGAAACATCTACATTGTTCAAAAATTAAAGTACCCTGTGAAACTTTTCCCGTAACCCATTCTATCCTGTTTGTGTCTCCTTTCCAAAATTTTTTTATACATATCCAAGCAGATATACATATATTATTTTTCTAACTCTTTTTTTTTTTACGCAAAACGTAGCATACCTATTAATGCCTATAAGAAAGGAATTAAAAGAACTGAACAGTGTTCTTAACATTATGCTCTGGAAATTTTTTCGTATCAGTAGTAACATTTGGCTTAATTACTGTTATGTACAATAAATTGCTCACTTTCTTTTACTCTAGCCAAACTTGCCTTCGTGAAAATGCACACATCTTCCCTGAAATGCTGCTTAATATGTTGGCTTTGCTGAGACATTTTTTTCATACCTTTCTAATAAGAGTTGGGATTCAGAGTGGCTCTGAGCTAATTATTGGTTCTTCGGGTATAGTATAGATTAAACAATTTAGGGAGCTGTAGTAGAAACCTGATCATTATCAATGTGGTTCTGAGTTACAAGTATGTTCATAAATAAACTCTGGAGTTTTATTGTAATATAAGAGAGTTATAGCATACAACTGACTTTAGAATCTTAACTACCACATGAATTGCAATTTTACTTATTTAACATTTTTGTGAGTCAAATAAAGTATTTATAGTTCAGATAGCTAAAAAATTCCTTGTTGAAGTTGTGATTTATTTGTTTTAGCAGTCTAGTTATGATTTTGGGTTTGGACTCATGTGGGACCTAAGTATTCTAGAGTTTGCAAAATACTCTTTTATAGAATATTATATTCAGTTCTTGTGATTTTTCCCCCTAATTTATGGTTTATTAATGTGGTTCAAATATTCTTATCCAGGTTCTTCAGAGCTAGTTTTTGTAAGTCATGTAATACATCCTTGCCACTTCTACATTCGGAGGTATTCACAAATAAATAATGCAGCAGTATTGGAAAAGATGGTGAATCAGTTCTGCAATAAGAGTTTGCACCTTGATCCTTCAGACATCTTGGAGCTAGGTAATGGAATATTACTCCAAGTTAAAATGTCAAGTTTATGTAAATACTGTAATATGTGTTTAACCCACATAAACATTTGTACTCCAAGCATAAATGTTTTAGAATTATTCAGCACAAGTTAAATTTTGTCTGCATTAGTTAAGTATTAAAATTAACCACTGAGTGAGGTATACACAAAAACTCTATTATAGAGCAATATGAATTTTGTTTAAATGACAAAATCCAGGGCAGGGGAATTATGTAGTTTTCACCCTTGTCTCCAGGGAAAAGTGTTCCTCTAAGATGATTCCTCAAGAGTGTGACAGTAGTCCCCTAATATACACACGTGAAAGTTGAGGATGTCATTGAACATTTGATGAGATGCAGGAGCATGGTGGCATCCATTTCCCAGGGCTTCATAGAAGATAGTTGGGAAACTTAATCAGCCCATCCTAATTCTAAGGTCATGTGTAATTTGCCATAATTGAGGCTTTCATTACAAATATTTTCCTTATAACCCTGTTGGCTAAATTTCATTATAGTCTCTAATAAGATGAAGGAAACTATGATTTGTTTGACTTACTAATAGAGCATTTTTCTCATTCTTTTATTGTTTATTTATTTATTTTAACTTATTTTTTTGTTCAGATACATTTGTGTCTGCCTTCCCACCACCACTTTCCCCTGCCCCTCTCCCCCACCTCCCTCCCTCAATCCTTCCCTACTTTGGCTTTGTCCATGAGTCCTTGCTATATGTTCCTTGACTTGACCCTTCCCTTCCTTTTCCCCACCCACCCCTCCCTCCTTCCCTCTTGACTCTGTTGGTTTCTTTTTTCCTTTCAGTGTTGCTGGTCATATTTTCCTTGCATCTTTGTTTTTGTTGGTTAGGTTCCACTTATAGGTGAGATCCTATGGTATTTGTCTTTCACCCCCTGGCTTATTTCGCTTGGCATAATGCTCTCTAGTTCCATCCATGCTGTCGCAAAGTGTAGTAGTTCTTTTTTTCTGTTCTTTTTTCATTCTTTTAGTAGTAGTCAATGTCTTCATGTAACTAATACCAAAAACTATTATCTGTTTAGCCTTATGTCGTTCTTTTAAAAGTGAGATCAACTCTCAGCTTGTGCATGTAACTTAACAGAATATAGAAGCCTAGGATCCTCATATACTAATGACAAAACAATAATTTTAAGATAAGAAATAACAAATTATGAGTATCTTAGAGGAGGAAGGTATAGTATTACATTTAATTTTTATGTCTACAAATAATTCTCCAAAATTTAACACATGCCCAAAATTGCTTCGCTTTCATTAGGTAATATTCTAAGAAGGCCAAAAAGTCATCCTTTGTTTTAAGTTAAGAATAATTAGTAGATGATTGGATCAAAAAATTATGGTACATATACACAATGGAATACTACGCAGCAGAAAGAAAAAAAGAACTACTACACTTCGCAACAGCATGGATGGAACTGGAGGGCATCATGCTAAGCGAAATAAGCCAGGGGGCGAAAGACAAACACCATATGATCTCACCTATAAGTGAAACCTAACCAACAATACAAAGATGCAAGAAAAATAAGACCAGCAACACTGAAAGGAAAAGAAATCAACAGAGACAAGAAGGAAGGAGGGAGGAGGGGCAGGGAAAAGGAAGGAAAGGGGAAAGTCAAGGAACATATACCAAGGACTCATGGACAAAACCAAAGGGGGGTCGGAAAGATGGCGGAGGAGTGAATGGGAGTCATGCTGACCTCCTCCCAAAACCAAACTGGAATTGCAACTAAATAATGGAGTAATCACCTGGAAAGCAGTGGAGCAATAGTGGGAGAGGAGCCTTGGTGCCGCGGACAGTGGATTCGACTCTCACACATCCCAACGGGTGAGAATTGCGGTGGAGGCTCGAGAGGGTGGGCTGAGTGCCCACAGGCACTGGCACCAGAGGGACATTGAAACAGCCGGTTAGCTCCCCCCGAGAAGAACGGGGTCTGAATCATAAACAGGAACCCCTAAACTACAGCAGCTAAAGTCAAGAAAATACAGACAAAACGCAACCCCGAAAAGCTTAGGGGCGCTCTCTGCCAGAGACAGGCGGCTGGGGATGCAAAAAGACATTTAAAGGGCAAACGCAAAAGTTGAAGCGGCAGCCACCCTCCTTGATCACTGGGTAGAGGCGGCAGCAGGGTGGTCTGGTGCCTGGGAAAAGACTGGTGAGGAAAACTTTGTGAAGAGAACTGAGACAGCGACTGATGGAGCCCCGGTGATAACGCACTTCCCACTCTGCAGCTACCATCTGGCTCAGGCATAAGGGAATCAATTAACCTGCCTTTTGTGCGCTCCGCACACAGCTTGTAGGCGTGTGAGCTGCGGGGCTGAGTGCAGACTGGCTGGGAGAGCCTTGAGGAGAGACTGGAAACGAAGGCGTTGGGGAAAGAACAGGAGGAGGAACCGGGGAGTCCCGACTCCCCTCTCCCCCCCACCCCCCGCCCCCGCCCCGCACGTTCGGTAGTCTCCATTGTGGGCTGGAAAGGCGCAACCCCAAAGAGGCAGAAGCGGGGCGCGCATGAACCAGACTGCCTGCAATTCAAACGCAGTCCGCACAGGGGTTGGATCCTCTGCCGAAGGGGTCACAGAACTGCCCAGAGGCCCCTGAGGGGAGACTAGAAACAGAGGCATTGGGGAAAGAACAGGAGGAGGAACCAGGAGGTCCCGACTCCTTCTCCTTGCCATAGTCTCCATTGCGCGGGAAGAGGCCACACCCCCAAAGAGCCAAAAGCTGAAAAGCAAACATAGACACCGCCAAAACACCCAGAGCAGGCGCGCACACTTGCGCCGAGAGACCGGGGAGGGTTGGCGAGCGTGTGTGTGACCCACGCGGGCTGGCGAACGCTTGCACCAGCCGGCAAGGCCTCACACGGACTGGCACCCATACGGCCTGCGAGGGAGTGCACAGAGGGGCAAGGGCAGGCGTAAATTGACCTGCCTGCCACGATTGCGGAGCGGCCTACAAAATAAGTAGAGCTGCCCAGAGTCCCTGGAGGAGACCAGAAACAGGATTAAGCGGAGAGTCCTAGAGCTGACTTCCTCCCATTTCATAGTCCCCATTTAGCGAGGGCAAGCAACGCACCCAAAGAGCCAAAAGCGGGGAAAATACCCGCTAGAGGACCCTAAACTGACCAGTGTCGCGAAACTGGTGTGCCAGGGGGGCCAGATGAGTACGCGAGGTCACGAATAAGCCCCCTGGTCTGGGGCAAGCACATGCAAGCCCAGGCAGGTGGGGGACCCTGCCGAGCTGGGAACGTGCTCAAGGAGCCCGCGTGAGAGCTCAGAGAGATCCCAAAAAATAGCCCAACCATGACCGGGTCACAGAGCTGCTCCAAGCAGGAGTCAGACACAGGCATTAGACTCCTGAAAGGCTCAAACAAACAACCCAAGGCCCTATAGGGTCAACAACTGACATCATCAGAGGCAAGCCCAGAAAGAAAAGTAAAGGAAAAAATACTTAACAGACTCTCACAAAAATGGGAAGAAAAAGAAGTTCCCCTCAAATGAGTGGAAAAGGGGACTCCCCACAGAGAGAGATAAATGAAATAGAGACAAGGGAACTATGAGATATGGAATTCAAAACAATGGTTCTAAGGAAGCTCAATGAGCTCAGCCAGCTCAAAGATAACTATGAGAAACTGCAGGGAAACTCTCAGGATCTTACAGCAAACTATATCAGCCTGGAAAAGGACATAGAAACTATCAAGAAGACACAAGAGGATATAAAGAATACCATTTCTGAATTGAAGAACAGAGTAGAAGGAATCCAAAGCAGGCTGGATGAAGCCGAGGATTGAATCAGTGAGATGGAGGACAAGGTAGAAAAAAGCTCCCAGAAAGAACAAGAAATGGAAAAACGGCTCAAAAAGAATGAAGAAGCATTTAGGGAAATGCAGGACAACCTGAAACGCAATAATATCTGTATAATAGGGATACCAGAAGGAGAAGAAGCGGAGCAAGGGATAGAGAACCTCCTCGAAAAAGTAATGATGGAAAATTTCCCTAATTTGAAGAGAGAAAGGCTCTCATGGATCCAGGAGGCACAGAGGACCCCACTGAAGAGGGACTCAAAGAGGTCCCCTCCAAGACACATCATCATTAAAATGGCAAATGTCAAAGACAAAGATAAAATCCTCAAGGCAGCAAGGGAGAAGGAGAAAGTAACATACAAGGGGGCCCTGATACGCCTAGGAGCTCACTTCTCAACAAAAACACTACAAGCCAGAAGGGAATGGCAACAAATATTCCAAGCCATGAAAAGCAAGGGCCTACAGCCAAGGCTGCTCTACCCAGCTAGGCTCTCCATTAAAATAGAAGGAGAAATACGGAGCTTCCCAGACAAAAGAAGGCTAAAAGAATACATCTCTACCAAACTAGCACTCCAAGATATGCTAAGGGGACTGGTTTAAGCAGATGAAGGAAAAGAATGAGAGAGAGAGGAACACAGGTACAAAGAGAAAAGATGAGTAAGTTTCTAGCAGTAATATCTCTCAATGTGAATGGATTAAATGCCCCAATCAAAAGACACAGGGTAGCTGAATGGATAAGAAAACATGACCCACACATATGCTGCCTACAAGAGACCCACCTCAGAGCAAGACACCTACACAGATTGAAAGTAAAGGGATGGAAAATAATATTCCAAGCAAATGGGCATGAGGAAAAGGCCGGGGTTGCCATACTTGTATCAGACAAAGTAGATTTCAAAACAAAGGCCATAAAGAGAGACCCAGAGGGGCACTTTATAATACTTAAAGGAAGAATCTATCAAGAAGACATCAACACTGTAAACTTATATGCTCCCAATATAGGAGCCCCCAAGTTCATAAGGAAATTGTTGGATGACTTCAAAAAAGATACAGACAGCAACACACTGATAGTAGGCGATTTCAACACCCCACTGTCAAAAATGGACAGACCTTCCAGACAAGACATTAATAAACATATCGTGGCGCTGAATGACACACTGAATCAGAGAC